CAAGCTTCTCTTCTTCCCACTTGGAGTGCCACAGGAAGCCACAGAGGAGGAAGCCGTGCGCCTGATTCCGTCCTGGTGATCCCAATTTGAAGGGGAACACCCTTCCCTAAAGCCCACGCCCCTACACACGCCACAAATGCCCCTGGGTCCCCGGACCTCTGAGGACCCCATCCTGGGCCTCCCCAAGAGAGGCCCAGGTCGCGGTTAAGGGCAGATAGCTGGGCCTGCGGGGGAGGGAGGGAGGCTTCGGGGGCGGACACCGGATGCGGGGAACCACCGGCAGCGTGATGTGGGGTTCTGAGGGCTGCGGTGCTTCTGAAGATGGCTCAGCGTCGCGCCAGGTGGACGTGAGAGCTTTACTCTGGAGGAGGCGGGGGTTGGGGTCCCGGCTACCCACCCGGACAAGCCAAGGGCTCAAACGCCCCCAACCCAGCCCACAGATATCGCCGAAGCCGGCCCAGACCCACCCGGCTCGCTGCCTCCGCCCGCTTAGGACTGAGCCCGCAGCGCCGCCGCCTGGTAAGGGGCGGAGTTGCCAACCACATCTGCGCAGGCGGGATGCAGCCTGGCCCGCGGCATCCTGGGAGTTGTAGTCCTGACGCTTCGGGGCCGCCCCAGCGTCTGGTCCCTGACGGCGCGCAGTGAGGACCCCGCGGCTCCCCCCGCAGTCGCCTCCCAAGTTCGCGGAACGCAGCTGACCGACTCCCTCTGGACTAGGTGACATGACTGCTCCCAAGCAGTCGTCTGTAAACTGAGTTTCTGTAAAACATTTTGTTTTATTTTATTTTATTTTTATTTTTTATTTTTTTTTGAGACGGAGTCTTGCTCTGTCACCCAGGCTGGAGTGCAGTGGCGCGATCTCGGCTCACTACAAGCTCCGCCTCCCGGGTTCACGCCATTCTCCTGCCTCAGCCTCCCGAGTGGCTGGGACTACAGGTGCCCGCTACCACTCCCGGCTAATTTTTTTTTTTTTGGTATTTTTAGTAGAGACGGGGTTTTACCGTGTTAGCCAGGATGGTCTTGATCTCCTGACCTTGTGATCCGCCCGTCTCGGCCTCCCAAAGTGCTGGGATTACAGGCTTGAGCCACCGCGCCCGGCCCATTTTATTTTTCATGTGTGATTGTAGCGGGGTACGATTTGAACTTTTTGTTTTCCGTCCCTTAGCCCGGGTCCACTGTCTTCTCTCTCCTGTACCGTCCGTTTTCTTACCTTCTTACCTCATCTCCATCACCGAGGCCCTCAGCCCTGAACACTTGGACTGGGCAGCTTCTCTATTGATTCCTGAACCTGGAATTTAAGACACCTTCCGAGGGCCCCCCTCGCCACACCCTCTAGTTGATCAACTCACAAATACCTGTGATTTCTCTCTCCGTCTCCCTGGCCAGGTACTTCCCTAGTGGACTCCTTTCCCTCACTGGTGTAGCATTCCAGCCAGAAGGAGTGCCTGTCCCCCAGCGCCCCATTCCCAGGGACAGACCCTCATGGGGAGCCCCTAGGGCCCCAGCTGCCCCCACTCTTTCTTAAAGCCAAGCTAGGAGGATAGGGACACACTGAAAACGGAAGAGGAAGGGTCTCCGGGACAGTCAAAGGTTCAACAGCAGGAAGTTCTTTTTTTCTTTTTCCTTTTTTTTTTGAAACGAAGTCTTGCTCTTGTCGCCCAGGCTGGAGTGCAATGGCAGGATCTCGGCTCACTGCAATCTCCGCCTCCTAGGTTCTAGCGATTGTCCTGCCTCAGCCTCCTGAGTAGCTGGGAATACAGGCGCCCACCAACACGCCCGGCTAATTATTTTTGTATTTTTAGTAGAGACGGGGTTTAGCCATGTTGGCCAGGCTGGTGAACTCCTGACCTCAGGTGATCCGCGCACCTAGCCCTCCCAGAGTGCTGGGATTACAGGCATGAGGCACCGCTCCCACCCGCCCGCCAGGAAGTTAAGAACTTACTTCTAGGTAGGGAGGGTCTTTGGAAGCCAGCCGGCCAGGGCCCCTCCATCTTTGGCCCTGCTCTGCGGTCTCTCAAAGATGGGTTTAAACTTCCAGCTTGGTTTTATTACAAGGAGGGAAACAGAGCTGGGATGTGGAGAAAGACCAAGTCTTCTTTAATTCTTAATTTTTATGGATACATAGTAGGTGTATGTATTTTTTTTTTTTTTTTTGAGACGGAGTCTTGCTCTGTCACCCAGGCTGGAGTGCTGTGGCCAGATCTCCGCTCACTGCAAGCTCCGCCTCCCAGGTTCACGCCATTCTCCTGTCTCAGCCTCCCGAGTAGCTGGGACTACAGGCACCCGCCACCTCGCCCGCCTAGTTTTTTGTATTTTTTAGTAGAGACGGGGTTTCACCGTGTTAGCCAGGATGGTCTCGGCCTCCCAAAGTGCTGGGATTACAGGCTTGAGCCACCGCGCCCGGCCAGTAGGTGTATGTATTTATAGAGTACATGAGATTTTTTTTTTTTTTTTTTTTTTTTTTTTGAGACGGAGTCTCGCTCTGTCGCCAGGCTGGAGTGCAGTGGCCAGATCTCGTTCACTGCAAGCTCCGCCCCCGGTTCCGCCATTCTCCTGCTCAGCCTCCCGAGTAGCTGGGACCAGGCCGCACCTCGCCGGCTAATTTTTTTGTTTTTTAGAGACGGGTTTCGCGTGTTAGCCAGGAGGTCTCGATCTCCTGCCTTGTGATCCGCCGTCTCGCCTCCAAGTGCTGGGATTACAGGCTTGAGCCACGGCATGGCGAATATTTTGATAGCTACAATGCTAATAAGCAGTTTTTTTTTTTTTTTTTTTTTTTTTTTTTTAGCGACGGAGTGTTGCTCTGTTGCCCAGGCTGGAGTGCAGTGGAACAACCTCGGCTCACCGCAACCTCCGCCTCCCAGGTTCAAGCGATTCTCCTGCCTCAGCCTCCCTAGTAGCTGGGATTACAGGTGTGTACCACCATACCCGGCTAATTTTTTTTTTTTTTTTTTGAGACGGAGTCTGGCTCTGTCGCCCAGGCTGAAGTGCAATGGCGGGATCTCGGCTCACTGCAAGCTCCGCCTCCTGGTTTCACGTCATTCTCCTGCCTCAGCCTCTGGAGTAGCTGGGATTACAGACACCTGCCACCACGCCCAGCTAATTTTTTGTATTTTTAGTAGAGATGGGGTTTCACCGTGTTAGCCAGGATGGTCTCGATTTCCTGACCTCGTGATCCGCCCGCCTCGGCCTCCCAAAGTGCTGGGATTACAGGCCTGAGCCACCATGCCCAGGAATTTTTGTATTTTTAATGGAGACGGGGTTTCACCATGTTGGCCAGGCTGGTCTCCAACTCCTGACCTCAAGTGATCCGCCCGTTGGGATTACAGGCGTGAGCCACCCAGACCAAGTCTTAATGACTTCATTTGAAACCTTGAATCTAGACATGCTCAGAGCTAGATTTGCCTTCTGAACTTTTTGGCTATGTAAGCTAATGAATTCCTTTAATTTTTTTTTTTTTTTTTTTTTTTTTTTTTTTTTTTTTTGAGACGGAGTTCACGCGTGCCAGCTGGAGTGCATGGCGATTCGGCTCATGCACTCGCCTGGTTCCCTTTCCTGCTTTGAGTATTCACGCCGACCGGCTAATTTTTTTTTTGTAGAACGGTTTCAATTTCGTCTCCTTTGATCCGCCGGCCCCCAAGTGCTGGGATCGCTGACCACCGCCCCTCCTTTAATTTTTTTTGAGACGGAATTCCTTTAATTTTTTTTTCACTCTTGTTACCCAGGCTGGAGTGCAATGGTGAGATCTCGGCTCACGGCAACCTCCGCCTCCCAGCTTCAAGCGATTGTCCTGCCTCAGCCTCCAGAGTAGCTGGGAATACAGGCATGCTCCACCACCCTCAGCTGATTTTGTATTTTTAGTAAACGGGGTTTCTCCATCTTGGTCAGGCTGGTCTCGAACTCCCGACCTCAGATGATCTGTCCACCTTGGCCTCCCAAAGTGCTGGGATTACAGGCGTGAGCCACCGCACCTGGCCTTTTTTTTTTTTTTTCCTTAAGTCAAAGTTATGTTTTCTATCTCTTGCAACCATGAGTTCTGACTAATTCTGTGGGGGAAAGACCAACAGATCAGAGTCAGCTGAAGATGTTGAACCTCTGATGTCTTCACTTATTGCCCAATTCCTCCATGAGCCAACCTCCTCTGACTTAAATGTATTGTCATGCCATTTGGCCCTAAGATATTTCTGCTTAACGTGTGAGTTAATCAGATCTCTTGTCTAGCTTATACATTTCTAGAATCACATAGCCAAAAGGAGGCTGACAGATCTGGCCCAAAGTTACACCCACTGCAGGAACTGCCCTATGAGTATCTTCTTGAACACTTCCAGAAGCTGAACCTCTCCTTGGTAACGACCTCACTACCCTTCCAAGGACTCTCTTCCAATCTTTCTTATTGATAGAACTTTTAAAATTTGGAACCAAAGTCGGCTTCCTTGTTCCTTGTCTCACTGGTTCTGCCAATACTGGTCTGACAGCCCTGGAGGAATTGGGAGCTAGTCCTTACAAATGACCTAGGTTTTTTTTTTTTTTTTTTTTTTTGAGATAGAGTTTTGCTCTTGTCGCCCAGGCTGGAGTACAGTGGTGTGATCTTGGCTCACTGTAACCTCCACCCCACCCCTGGTTTCAAGCGATTCTCCTGGCTTAGCCTCCAGAGTAGTTGGGACTACAGGCGCCTGCCACCATGCCTAGCTAATTTTTTGTATTTTTAGTAGAGACGGGGTTTCACCACGTTGGCCAGGCTGGTCTTGAATGCCTGACCTCAGATGATCCGCCTGCCTCAGCCTCCAAAAGTGTTGGGATTACAGGCATGAGTCACCGAGCCTGACTCCTTCTACAGTTCTTTTACAGACTTTATTTGCAGCCTACTCATCGCCCCCTTTCGGCTTGATCCTTAAAGTGTGGCACTAAGAAGTGAAACTAGTACTGGGAACACATAGTGAGGGGTCATCTCTGACTGGGCGTGCTAAGTCTACCAGGCCTTTGTTTGTAAGGAATCAACTGTTTAAGTGAAGCGGTGTTTATTGTAAGAAGACACGGGGCAATCAGGAGGTCTAAATGGAATGGGAATCCCAGAACAGTGGCTATGGTGTGAGTAGACCTCTGCATGGTGAGTAGACCTCTGCAGACTGTTATTGGATCTCAGATCTCTGCAGTGCTGGGGACTGTCACGCGCGTCTGTGATGGTCCAGGGGGCTTCCGAGGTGATTGGGCAGTGTCAGTCTTCAGCTACTAAGCTGAGGAGATGTGGGAAGGAGTCGACCAAGGAACACTGGGTTTGAGCTCCAGGAGCTTTAGGAACGGTGGCGATGTGAGCTGGACAGTCCGACCTCCAGTGGGGGCCCACACAGACAAGGCACGGCCTAGGAGGAATCCCGGGCTGCGGGCATTCCGAGGCCCAGTGGCCAGGCTTTTGGCATTTGAAGCAAGGTCCATGAGGAGGTTTTGAAGGAGCCCCTGGGAACTGTGGCTTGGATGTTCTGAAGTTTTTGTATGCTGGAGACATGGTTGTGGGTTGTCTTACAGCGGAGGCAAGGAGCTGTAACTCAGAGATGTGTTGTCGCTTGGCTGCCTCTTCTCTTTTATTGTACACCTTGAAGGCAAGGTTAATTAAGTCCTGTTGTGGGGTTTGAGGGCCGGAATCCAATTTTTGGAGTTGTTTCCTAATGTCAGGAGCGGATTGGGTGATAAAATGCATATTAAGAATAAGGCGGCCTTCTGGCCCGTTTGGGTCTAGGGCAGTAAAGTGTCTAAGGGTTGCTGCTAAGCAGGCCATGAACTGGGCTGGGTTTTCATCTTTACCTTGGGTAGTTTCCTTTAGTTTGCCATAATTAACAGCTTTGTATGCTGTCTTTTAAAGCCCTTCAACTAGGCAGGAAATCATGTAATCTCGCCTAGCTATACCTGGGGAATCTGCCTGATAGTTCCATTGGGGGTCCTCTTAGGGAACTGCTCTAATGCCTTTCTGGAGGCCTGGCTCATGAAGCCGGCGTTTGTCAGTGTAAGATTGGGCTAGAGAAAAAACTCTTTCCCGTTCATCTGGGGAGAGGGTAGAAGTTAGGTGACGTTCAAGTCACTCCAGGTTAAATTGTAGGACAGAGTTAGATATCGGAATTCCTGTATATATTTACTGGGATCTGATGAGAAAGAGCCTAAACGCTGGCTGATTTGGGAAAGGTCTGATAGAGAAAAAGGCACATGTACCCAAACTATGCCTTCAGCTCCAGCCACCTCTCTAAGAAGAAACTGTTGGCCAGGTGGGGGAGAGCTAGTCGCAGAATGAAACTGTAAGCCACACTGGGTGAGGGGAGGGGAGGTAATAGAAAGGTTATAGGGTGGGGGAGCGGAGACTGAAGAAGAGCTGCAGCCTGATTCAGCCTGGCGGGGAGCGACCTGAGGAGGAGCAGTCTGGGGAGGAGGGGAAAGGTCCGATGGGTTGGTAGAAAAGGAAGATTCAAAAGACTCAGTGACACTTGGGGTTGGGACTGAAGGGACAGGCGGGAAGGAAAGAAGGAGGATTTGGGACAAGTTGGATTGGGAACAGAGACTAGGGAGGGAATGAAGTATGAAAAATGCCTGGAAGTACGGCACCTCAGACCATTTGCCCATTTTTCGACAAAAATTATCTAGGTCTTGTAGGATAGACAAATCGAAAGTGCCATTCTTTGGCCACTTGGAACTATTGTCGCGTTTGTATTGGGGCCAAGCGGTGTTGCAGAAGAAAATAAGGCGTTTAGGTTTTAGGTCAGGTGTGAGTTGAAGGGGTTTTAGGTTTTTAAGAACACAGGCTAAGGGAGAAGATGGGGGAATGGAGGGTGGAAGGTTGCCCATAGTGAAGGAGGTAAGTTCGAAGAGAAAGGTAGAGACACGGCACAGGGGGTGGTGAGCAGCCCTGGGCTGCAATGTGGGTGAGCAGCCAAAGCAGGCATCCCTGCAATTGACTTGCCACCAAGGGAATGTGGGTGAATGACCAAGGCAGGCATCCCCGTGGCGATCAGATACCAATGAAATGTGGGTGAATAATCAGGCAGGTGTCCCCGCAGTGATTAGACACCAAGGTAAGTCTGTCTTCTCGAGTCTGTGACCAGCGCCAGAGTTTTGGGTCCACGGACAAAAATGTGTCTCCTTTGTCTCTACTAGAGAGGAAAAAGAACTGGAATTGGAAGGACAGGGAGATTGAAGGGTAGCAAGAGAGGGAGATTGAAGGGTAGCGAGAGAGGCTGGAGAAGAGAGTGAAAAGACCACTTACCCAATTTGAAATTGGTGAGATGTTCCTTGGGTTGGTTGGTTTGAGGACCCGAGGTTGTAGGTGGATCTTCTCACAGAGTGAGGGTGAGGACAGGGGACCCGTCTCCCGAAGGAGTCCTCCTATCCTGGGTCTTCGGCACCAAATGTCATGCACGTCCGTGTGAAGAGACCACCAAACAGGCTTTGTGTGAGCAACACGGCTGTTTATTTCACCTGGGTGCAGTCGGGCTGACTGTGAAAAGAGAGTCAGCAAAGGGTGATGGGATTATCATTAGTTCTTATAGGTTTGGGATAGGCTGTGGAGTTAGGAGTAATTTTTTTGTGGGCAGCAGGTAGATCTTCTTACAAAGTAGAATATTACAAAGTACTTTCTTAAGGGTGGGGAGGCTGTATTGTACCAAGTACATTCACAAGGATAGGGGAATATCACAAAGTACATTATCTCAAGGGCAGGGAGGGTGTATTGCCATAAAGTCAATTGATCAGTTAGGGTGGGCAGGAACAAATCACAATGGTGGAATGTCATCAGTTAAGGCAGGGACTGGCTATTTTAACTTGTTTTGTGGATTTTCAGTTGCTTCAGGCCATCTGGATGTATACATGCAGGTCATAGGGGAAATGATGGCTTAGCTTGTACTCAGAGGCCTGACAGGGACCTCAGTGACAGGAGTATGTGGGACTTCAGGATCCTGCTTCTCTAGTTCCAAGACTGAGATACCCTCTTCATTTCTGACCTTGTGATCCACCCACCTAGACCTCCCAGAGTACTGGGATTACAGGCATGAGGCACCGTGCCGGCCAGGAAGTTCTTAAGAAATTACTTATAGGTGGGGAGGGTCTTTGAAAGCCATGCAGCCAGGGCCCCTCCATCTTTGGCCCTGCTCTGCAGTCTCTCAAAGATGGGTTTAAACTTCCAGCCTAGTTTTGTTACAAGGAGGGAACAGATTTAAGCAATTCTCATTTCTTCATTTCTACTTCCTTTATTTATATTCAATTTCTTCCCACTTTGCTAACTTGCTTCCCTGTCCTTTACTGTATATTCTCTCTTAGTTGTTCTGCTTCCTTTTAACAGCTTCACATTTCCTCTTCTGTCTTGTGACCTCAGTTAAATGTTTAATTATAGAAATAACGTGCACGTGGTAATAAAAAAAAACCCAAATAGAACCAAAGGCTACACAACAGTGGTTCTCAACCAGGGGTGACTTTGCTCCCCACCCCCTCCAGGAAACATTTAGGGCATGTCTGGAAACATTTTTGGTTGTCACAACTGGGGAGGGGGTGGTAGTGGGAAGGGGTCAAGGATGCTGTTAAACAACCTACAAAACTCAGGTCAACTACCCACAATAAGGAATTTCTCACCCAAAATTTATAATGCTGAGGGTGAGAAATCCTACCGTAGGGGAAAAAATAAAAGTAAAAGGCTCTCTTCCCCCATCCCCATTCCTACTCCAAGTCATAGTTCCCAGAGGTAACTCCTTTTAACGCTTCCTGGCTTTAAGTGTGTTGGTGATTTGGTGTTTGTTAATAGTAATACTTAGACTTCTCACAGCAAGGGAATTCTAGGAAACTCTAGTGAGTTTTTCTATTCCACACCTCCTCTGACAACTCCAGCTATAGGTGACATACTTTAAGTGGGCTCCTCTGGGCTCCAAGCAGAGAGAATTCCTTGCAGACAAGGTCTGGAAAATAGCCTCAGAGCCAGAAACAAGGACTTTCAGGAAGAAAGCGAGTCTCAGAGACAGCCTGCTTCTCAAGGACAATCATAACTCTTCTGGGTCTTAACTCTCAGCAAAACTAATGGTGGATTTAATTTCTCAGCCCTTGAGGCTGGGAGAATGCAGAAAAAGCAGAGGGCAGAGGAACCTGCTGACAGAGACAGCTGAATCCCTGACAGAAAAAATGAGAGCCTGGAAGAGATACGTGTGAAGCTCAAACACAAAAGATTTCCTTGAACTAGAAAATGTGATCGCAGAACTAAAAAATTCCATTGATAAATCAAAGGAGAGGACGGTCATTGCTGAAACCCCAAAAATAGGTCTAGAAAATTAAATAGAGAAAAATGTCTCAACATCTAGCACAAAAATATAGAATTGCAAATATGTGGTAGAAGGTAGGAGCCTGGAACAGATACAGTAGACTTAACCTGCAAATGCTGTGGGTTCCAGGAGAAAAAGGAACAAGAGAGGAGAGGTCATAATTAAATAATAGATGAAATTTCTCTAAGCTGAAGAAAGACTGAAGTTGCAGCTCCAGTTGAAACAAAAAGACACACACTCAGCTACATATGGCAAAAATTCCAAAACTCTAAGAATATAGGAAATCTTACATGCTTTCAGGCAAAAAGCAAGTTCTTTTTTCTCATCTGCAACCCTGAAAGTTAAAAGACCCCCAGATGGAATGTGGGCTAATGAAAGAAAAGGCCTGCAACCCATACCCAGCCAAGGAAGAAAAAAAGATTTGCAAAATTCACTGAGTACTTCATCTGAGAAATATTTTTGAGAAGAGACTCTAATAAACAACAAATGAATCCTAACAGAGACTTCAAGACAGGGGAAGAGAAGAGGCAAGAAACCAGTGGGGAACAACGAACCATGTCTGTTTATGAGGTGTAACATATATGCTAAATAAGGACTCTTGAAACAGATGGAACACTATAAGGGAAATTCTAATAAGGACTAAATTATCTCATTAAAACTGTGGAGTCAGGCGTTGGGGATAAGGGGAAGGTAAAAGTGTTCCAGAAGTCTAAGGCAGGGAGAGGTGGGGAGGAAAAAGGGGAGAAAGGAAGGGAAGTGAAAGTAATCTAAAGATCACATTTTGGCCAGACGTGGTGTCTCACGCCTGTAATCCCAGCACTTTTGGAGGCTGAGGCGGGCGGATCACCTGAGGTCAGGAGTTCAAAACCAGCCTGGCCAACATGGCGAAACCCCATCTCTACTAAAAATACACAAATTAGCTGGGCGTGGTGGCGGGCACCTGTAATCCCACTACTTGGGAGGCTGAGTCAGGAGAATCGCTTGAACCCAGGAGGTGGAGGTTGCAGTGAGCCAAGATCGTGCCACTGCACTCTAGCCTGGGGAACAAGAGTGAGATTCCATCTCAAAAAAAAAAAAATAAATAAAAAAGATTACATTTTATTGGGATGGGGAGGAAGTAGAAGATAATTAAAGTGTTCTGGAAATAGCAGCTGTTGTTTTCATACACTAGAAGAGTCATGTGTATCTATCTGAGAGCATTCTATTAATAGAATGACAAACTCCAAATTAATGAGGAGAAAGAATGAATGAGTAGTAATTTAATCTAGCAAAGATTTAAAAAAGAAGAGTTAACAATAATATAAAAAGCTTTAAAACAAGTAAGATGGAAATAAGAAAATCAAATACATCACTCATTACAGTAAATACAAGTGGACTGAAATCTACCATCGAAAAACTGTCAGATTTTGTTGTAAATCAAATTTAGGTACACATTACTTAAGAGAAACACACTTAGGATGGGTGTGGTGGCTCACGCCTGTAATCCCAGCACTTTGGGAGGCTGAGGTGAGTGGATCACGAGGTCAGGAGATCGAGACCATCCTGGCTAACATGGTGAAACCCTGTCTCTACTAAAAATACAAAAAATTAGCCAGGCACGGTGGTGGGTGCCTGTAGTCCCAGCTACTCAGGAGGCTGAGGCAAAAGAATGGTGTGAACCCAGGAGGCAGAGCTGGCAGCGAGCCGAGATAGCACCACTGCACTCCAGTCTGGGCGAAAGAGCAAGGCTCTGTCTCAAAAAAAAAAAAAAAAAAAGAGAAACACACTTAAAGTGATAAAGTTTTAAAATAAAGACATGGAAAGAGATACCAGGCAAATATTAAATGTTATTTTGAAAACCAGAGGCTATATACAATCCCTGACTTATAATGGTTTAACTTAGGATTCTTTGACTTTACGATGGGTTTATCAGGGTATTAAATATATTTTCAACTAACATTACTTTCTACTTATGATGGGTTTTTGGAACATAGTCCCATCCTAAGTCAAGGAACATCTGTACTGATATCAAACAAGAGAAATTTAAGTTACGGGCTCGGGGAGGTGGGAGAAGAGTGCCTGCAAAGGGATAGGAGGATTTGGGGAGAGATAGGAATGTTTTGTATCTAAATTGTGGTAATTACACAACTGAATACGCTTGTCAAAACTCATAGGCTTGTACACTTGAAACAGATCAATCTGTTGTATATAAATTACAATGCAATAAAACTGGTTTAAAAAAAAGAATGAAAATACCATGTTCGCAAAATAAAAATGTGAAATGAGAAAACAGCATAACATGAGAAACCCTCTCAATTACCCTGTATCATATATTTCACTGTCAAAAAGATAGCAAGCTTTAAACAACATATGCACAGGAAAAATAAAGAGAGCACTTATTTCAAGAAATTATGAAAAGAGTAAGAAAAGAAATCAAATCAGAAAATAATAACTAAAGCTAACACTAATTAAATGAAAAAAAAAAAACAAAAAAAAAACTAAAAAGGCCCAGGCACAGTGGCTCATGCCTGTAATCCCAGCACTTTGGGTAGCCGAGGCGGGAGAATCACTTGAGCTTAGGAGTTCGAAACCAGCCTGGGCAACATGGTGAAACCCCATCTCTGGGGAAAAAAAAAAAAAAATTACAAAAATTAGCCAGGTGTGGTGGTGTATGCCTGTAGTTCCAGCTACTTGGGAGGCTGAGATGGGAGGGTAGCTTGAGCCCAGGAGGTGGAGGTTGCAGTGAGCTGAGATTGCACCACTGCACTCCAGCCTGGGCAACAGAGCCACACCCTGTCTCAAACAAACAAACAAACAAAAAAACAAAACAAAAAAAAACCTAAAAAGGATAAATCAATCCAAAAAAATTGTCTTTTAAAAGAGCTATTAAGGTTGGGCACAGTGGCTCATGCCTGAAATCCCAGCACTTTGGTAGGCCAAGGCAGGCGGATCACCTGAGGTCAGGTGTTGAGACCAGCCTGACCAACATGGTAAAAACCTGTCTCTCCTAAAAAATACAAAAATTAGCAGGGTGCGGTGGCAGACACTTGTCACCCCAGCTACTTGGGAGGCTGAGGCAGGAGAATCGCTTGAACCCAGGAGGTAGAGGTTGCAGTGAGCCGAGATGGTGCCACTGCACTCCAGCCTGGGCGACAGAGTAAGGCTCTGCCTCGAAAAAAAAAAAAAAGAGCTAATAAAATAAACCTC